TTACTTGAGGCATCAGAATCTGGTTGCTTAACTTGAATTGAGGCCTCTTAAATTGTGTATCTTAGTTCATGACACTCTACCGAAGTACTGTAGACTGGGTGGTTTATAAACAATAGAAATTTTTAGGGATGGAGGGAGGGAGGGTAATTGGTGGGGCCACACCTACAGTGCATCTTAACTAGGGTACATGTGAAACTTATTAAATGTAGAATATAAATGTCTTAACACAATAACTAAGAAAATGCCATGAAGGCTATGTTAACCAGTTTGATGGAAATGTTTTAAATTGTATATAAAACCAGCACACTGTAAAAAAAAATATTTCAAATTGTATATAAAACCAGCACACTGTAAAAAAAAAAAAAACAGATAGAAATTTTTTGCCACCGTTCTGGAAGCTCTAAGTCCCAGGTCATGGTGCCAGTGCAGTTGGCAGGTTGCTGCTTTTTATTGTTTCATCACCTGACAAAGAGAGCTAAGAAGAGCTCTCCAGGGTCCCTTTTTTTTTTGGCCGGGGCTGGGTTTGAACCCACCACCTTGGGCATATGGGGCCGGCACCCTACCCTTTTGAGCCACAGGCGCCGTCCTCCAGGGTCCCTTTTACAAGGGCACTAATCCCATTCACGAGAGCTTCATCTTCATGACCTACTCAGTTCTCAGAGGCCAGCACACTGGGAGTTAGGATTTCAACATATGGATTTTGGGAAAGACACAAACATTTGGTCCATAACTGTGTTACTTTTCTTCAGAATACCAGTTACTGTGTCTGTACAAGGTGAACTGTGCAACTGGAATTATTGTTGCAGAAATTTGAAATTCGAGATCTTGGTTCCTTTTTATAGATGGGACTGACACCACAAGAGACTGACCTTCAGTTTTGTTGTTTGACTTTAGAGGCACAGATCCTCCGCCATGTGATGTTGGAACGGGCCGGGACTCTAGGTGGAGGCTGCAGTATGATGTTTATCAGTATTTTCTGCCCGAGAATGACCTCACTGAGGAGGTTTTGCTAAAACATCTGCAGAGGATGGTCCAGGTGTCCCAGGTGAAGGCCAATGCTGTCAAGGTAAATCTCATTCTCCGGGTTTGTGCATCTAGATTGTGATGCCTTTGGAAGACTCGAGAAAGGGAAAACCTACCAGGAGCTTGTTTCTTTACTGTTTTCTTGATCTTTTTGGATAATCACTTTATTCTTTTTTAGTTTGTTATCATCTTGAAAGTCTTGGCTAGTGATGTTAGCCTTTTAGGAGATGCATGTAAATTATGGTAAGTTTTGATTTGCAGCTACATCTGTGACCTGGTAATCTTGAGATATGGATGGAAGTAGGGGGTAATTTTCTATGTAATCCCATAGTTATTAGATTAAAAACTTTGGGCAAATATGAAGTTTATGGTGTTTTGAGAAAAAATAATGGGAAGCTGCGTAAGGATATATACATAGGCATTAATATTAGAACCCAAACTTAAAGTCTCTGACTTAGAGCAAGAATTTTCTGACATTTGAATCTCTGTAAACCCCTGCTGCTCCAGGTGTGGACCACCAGGCAACAAGACTGGGATCACCTGGTAGTTTGTTAGAACTGCAGCCTTAGAGGCTCCATCTTCAAACTACTGAATTAGAATTTGCATTTTATCAAACTCCCCTCAGATGATTCTTATGTATATTGTAATTTGAGCCTCACTACTATAGATCTTTTATGGAGGGGAGGATTGTATTTTTATGTCTGGAAAGGTGCCTAATAGTAGTATGATATGAGGCCGTCCTTCCGCATGTAGATGATGGTTGGAGTTTTTCTGGAGTGCTCTGATTCTTTCCAGAAGATTGGTAGATTACCAGATGTGATTGAAGTAGGGCAAATATGATC